GCCATGAGGCAGGTCTGGTATGAAGCCACATATTGGGGCCACCAGAATTGCCTCTGGATGAGAGGTGGACCCAGTCATCCTGCTGGTAATTTATGAAACATCTCAGAAATTGCTCTAACTCTTGATTCGCCCATTTTGTTTGCCAGTCCACCTCAAGGTGGTAAGCACTGCTAAGTCCTTGCTCCACCCCCAACAGTTTCAGCAGTTCTTTCCAAAATCCCGCCACAAACTGGGCCCCCCGATCTGATATTATCTTACAGGGCAAGGTGTGCAGCCTAATTATACGTTGCAGGAACAACTGAGCTAATTTTCGGGCAGTGGGCAGTTGTTTACAGGGGATGAAATGTCCCTGCTTGGAGAACAAGTATACTACCACCCAAATAACAGTCTTTCTCCTGCTGGGGGGAAGGTCCGTGATAAAGTCCATAGAAATGATGGACCATGGCCAGTCAGCGGTATCTAGAGATTGAAGCAGACCTGGATCTTTCCCAGCACATAGTTTGGCCATGAGGCAGGTCTGGTATGAAGCCACATATTGGGGCCACCAGAATTGCCTCTGGATGAGATTTAGAGTCTTTAGGTATCCGAAATGTCCAGCCAGTTTGTTATCATGCTTAAGCAGCTGCTTGGACTCCGAATTGCTTAGTCTTATATGGGTGATAGAGGATAGGCTCGGAGGTGAAAAAGGTTTTCAGCTGATTGAAAGCCTCCTGGCATTCAGGGAACCATAGCAACTGGCTGCTTGGTTTCAGGCAGTCTGCTCCCTTCCCCTTCGTCCTCAGCAAATCAGTTAGGGGTAGAACGACCTGGGCGAAATTAGAGATGAAGGGGCAGTTGGTGAACCCCAAGAAGGATTGTAATTGGCATCGGGTTTGGGGGGGATCTCATCCCACTACGTCCTGGACTTTTCACGGATCCATGCCCAAATCCTTCCCTGAGATCTTGTACCCAAGGAAGTCCAGCTCTTCCTTATGGAACTTGCACTTGGAGAGCTTAGCATAGAGGTGATTTGCGTAGAGGGCTTCAAGCACCTCCTTCACCATCTGGCTGACATCCCTGGGAAAGGAAGGTATCTTTGGGGAGTTACATGAGATGTATTGCCCTACAATAAAGCCATTCTCAATCTCACACATTCACACTCCCCCGTCCCCTGGAATTTCCCCAAATACATGGCAAATTAGTCAACGAGGTTGACAATCATTTACACAACAATTTAAGCAAAATACATATTTTAATTATTTAAAAAAAACAATTTAGGTAAAATATATTTTATGAATCTAGTGGCAGAGGTCCAGCATAGACATACTTAAAAAAATAAATGTCCAAAGCCACAATAGAAATCTTTTATGCATTCATTCATTTATATATGCATAAGTAAATTCAAGTGCATGGAAGAAGATGCAGCTCCCCCCCCCCATCCTTTGCATTAAGTAATTCAGTGGATCTAAATTAATTAGGTCCATTATGGATGAGGTGTAGTGTAGTGGTTAGAATGCTGGGCTAGGCCTGAGAAGACCCAATTTTAAATCACTTCTTGGGAGACCTTGGGGCAGTCATTCTCTCTTATCCTAATCTATTTTACAGGCTTGTTGTGAGGAAATATTGGAGAAGGGCAGAAGAGGCATATACAGTCTTGAACACCTTGGAGAAAGGGTGGTATAAAATACATTAAATGAATAAAAGAACCACCATCATCCTCTTTCTGACACCTGAGTTCCATAAGATCTTCTAGGAAGCCAAAAAATGTTATCCAAGCTCAAAACTATTGTCAGGCTGTAATGTAAATATGTCTGTAGAGTGCAAAGACAGAAGCCAAGAGGAAGTTTTTTGATCAAATGCAGTTGAAATGCATAGGAGTACAAAATACAAGATAGCCTTGAACTAGTATTTTAAGGATCATTGGAATGTTTTTGAAAACTTGTATTCACAGTTTAACACCTGTGCCTTTTTGTGCAGAGGGTGTTTAACAGCAAATAGGAAAAAAACTGGTTCTTGACTTATTTTTGTGGCACAATTACTATTAATTATACATTTACAACAGTAGTTCCAAGATGACACTGGTAACAATCCAGTTATTTTGTTCATTTCCTATCTCAAAACAGAAGTGTGATTTCTCTGGAATTGGTGCAGATGTCAGTAAACAGTGGGACTAGGTGGGGTTATGATCAGAACAGAACCAATTGTGTGTAGATGGAAAATACAGGAAGTGATTTTTTAAAAAAAAATATTTTATTTTATAAATTTTCCATATAACACTGCATACAAATATAAATCTAATTGAAAATCAACTTCAGTAATACAGATCTCTACAACAGAACTGTATTGACTGGCTTGCATAGAAAAGACCTCAGTGTGGAACTGACCTTATTATACACCAGATGTCATTATAGCTGCTGTGGTTTGTTTGCTATACAAAGCAGGGGTGTTGAACTCATTTGTTATGGAGGGCTGGATTTGACATAAATTGGACTTTGTCAGGCCCGGCGATGTGTGTCAGGGAGTTTATTTAACAGTCTCCGATAACTGACACTTCTTGCTCTGGGGGGGGGGGCTTGGCCCAGTGCAGGGAGCAGAAGCTTGCCTATCTATCTCTCCTGAGTGATTGAGAGAGTCTGGGAAAGCAAGCTATAACACAGCAGCAGAGCAGGAGGAAGAAGCAGGAGACAGCCAGTCCCTTGCAGGCCTGATAGAAGCCCTCTGGGGGCCTGATCCGGCCCCGGGGCCACATGTTTGACACCCCTGAGTTAAAACATAGGTCCCTGCCACACAGGATGGCTGAAACGCAGCTAATCAGAGCCGCCCCAAACTTGAGACGCCGCGGCGGGATCCCACGGATCCCCTCAGCCGCGGCGCATCGCTCCCCAGCACGATCAGATGCCGGGAAGAGACGAGTGGGAGGGGGAGGCTTCCGAACTGCGCATGCTCGAGCATGCACAGTACGGCAGGGGGCAGGGGATGCGCCAGCGAAAAGATGCACCGGCGATCCCACGGCCACATTTGCCGCGGCCCATTCAATTGAACCACCCAGGTAGACGGTTCTTCTTTGATCCGCTTTTCGGGTGGTTGGGACGGATCGGGGACGGCCACGGCACGATTGCCAGATGTTGCTGTGTGATCGCGCCCGTTTGATGTGGCCCCGATCCATCCCTCTCCCGGCCCAAAACGCCTCGTGTGAACAGGGCCATAGTTAACTTCCTGATTATTAGGGCCATACTACATACTACATGCTTTATACGAGTTCGTCATGGGGACATATAGCCATACTGCACCTGTGAGTTCCTGGTTGCAACTCCTGTGTAAAAACTCAGCAAAGGGACACTTTGGAGAAACACCATGATGCAGAGAGAAAAAGGGCTGCTCCTCCCAGTGGGGCAAATAATAACCCTCTGCAGCCCACAGGCTGTTTTGGCTCCCAAAGACATCTTGGTAAGAAGGCAGGAGCCCCTTCCACCCGTACACCATGGCCCCAGTCTGAATTGGTCCCCTTCTGCACTTATACACAGTAAAGTGTAACATGTAGTTTTGCCCTTAGTTAACATATTTCTGTATTTGAGTTTTAGTGCACAGATTGGCTGAATGTTTCTGCAGGCAGAAATCCTACCCATGCAGTGTGATTTTCTCACCTCCCTTCTTGGTGCAATCCAAATAGCCCCCCAAAAGTCCTGTCTGCTGAAATATTCAGGTGGAACCAAGCCATTAGGTATCAGATCACGCTTAAAAATACACAGAGAAGGTAACAAATAGCTTTCAGATACTTTGTTTTATTTTTATTAGGCTGCATCCACTCAGCTGTGTTGTTTTCATTTCTGCTATGAAGAGGCATTCACAACGGCAGTGGAACATCTTTATGCCCTGCTCCAGTTCTCCTGTAGCTTCCCCTCCCCTTTCCTTTTCATGAAATCTGGACAAAAACTGTCACTCCTTTTCCTTTACACCTTCACAACAAAAAAGGGCTAGAGATATACTTTTTTAAAAAACATGAAAGCTGAGAATTCCATAAATCATTACGTTGTTGTTATGTCTAACACAATAGCAATTGCCATTTTTTTCGACATGCCCTCTAAAAGTGCTCTAGTGGTCCATTGAGGAAAATGGTGGCAGTGAGGGGCTAATGGAAAATGGCCTTGATGTGGGTGGGGCAGTGAGGAAAATGGTGGCAGTGAGGGGCTAACAGATGGAAAATGGCCTTGATGTGGGTGGGGCCTTTGAAAAAGCACATCTTCTCATCCAAATGGCGTACAAATGTGCTTGAATTGTGTTAACTGCACCAGTTAATTGTGTTAACTACACCAGTTTGGTGTAGTGGTTAAGTGCACGGACTATAATCTGGGAGAACCAGGTTTGATTCCCCACTCCTCCACTCACAGCTGCTGGATGACCTTGGGCAAGCCATAGTTCTCTCAGAGGTGTTCTTGAAAAGAGCAGTTTCTGTCAGAGCTCTCTCAGCCCCACCTACCTCACAGGGTGTGGGGAGGGGAAGGGGAAGGAGTTTGTAAGCCGCTCTGAGACTCCGAGTGAAGGGCAGCGTATACATCCAATCTCCTCCTCCTTCCAAAAAAGACTAATAGAGCTGCTTTGGGCAACATCCAAGCAAAGCAGGGATAACCTGGAAATTGAACCATTAGAGAATGGTGTCAAGGGTATGCTAAAAGAAAAAGGCACTCAACTTTTAAGGCAAAGGTGGAGCAAAACCTCAGTTTGGAAAGCGCTGCAGGCATAAATATGCTCAGAAGTAACATTTTCAGTTGAATGTTCTTTGAAGGATCTTCTAAAAACCCTTATTGATAGATAGATCAGAGTACTGTGCTTCACTGTACATGATGCATTCGAAACTCGAAAATAATGGTTGCATACTTTTTTTTCTATGCTGAAAAGCTGATATGGAATAACTGCTGTTTCAGGTTCCATTTATTCTGTTATGCTGGTAGTGCTTATTATATTATTTCCATTGTCTTTTTAAAGATCTTTTAGTTATTGTGTTTCTGGCCTTTATTTCATAGCTCTATCCAGGCTCAATAGAACTAATGCAGGTGATTGAAGATTTTATTCACATTGTTGGAATGGGAATGATGGACTTTCAGAATTCATACTTAATGACTGGAAATGTAGGTAAGAAATAGGAATTTATCTTATCATACATGTGCTATGTTGAAAAATTGCAAGTATGCATTTCATAGTTGTTGCTTGTTTTTTAAAAGCCTCTTCCAAACCTATTATTAGTCATCAGTTAACCCGTCATATCCCTGAAGGCTATATTTTAATTTAGTGCTAAGGACTATAAAACAGAGATTCTAACCTTGATTTATAACTTGTATTGACTAGGAAGCAGGCTAGAAATTATGCAACATAGTACATTTTATAAGTGATTGTACAAAATAATAATGTCCTGAACTGAAATTACCTTTGAAATGTTTCTAACTGTTCTTCAACAACTCTTTTGCATACATTATGATACAAACAAACAAAGAAACAACATTGTACATATGATTATGGAGTGCCCTATATTCGATGAGTTGAGGGCTAATTTAGTCACCCCTTTACGTAAAGATATGGAACTGCTAAATGTGCGAGCCTAGGTGTCATGGCTACTATCGGATACAGATGATTGTGTCACCCTCTAAGTGGCAAAATTCATAGGCACAATAATCAAATATAAGAGAAAGAATACTGAGTAAGGTCTTTTACAATATTTTCTTTGGTTCTAATTTCTGCTTAAGGTGATAGCCATATGAGTAGTACTAGATAGGTAGACTGCCATTATAGACAGCACATGAATTCAGACTTCACAAAGAAACCTCAGTTTGTATGTGATGAGAACAAGACAAAGTCCTTGGCTTTGTGGACTCTCTTCTCTCTCCTCCCTGTGCATTTAGTGTCTAAGCTGCAAACCAGGAGGTTGTCAATAAACTGCTATTTGCTTAGACATCCAAATTGGGTACTTTAACAAATATCCTTTGTTTCTTGCTTAGAAAGGATTCTAAACCACTTCTGAGATTTGTTAGTGATGCCTAAATGCAGCCAGTGCGTTTGATGAAAAGTGGTAACATACTGCGGTTCATGATACGCAGCCACCTGTGGTTAAACATCTCTCTCTCTCTCTCTCTCTCTCTCTCTCTCTCTCTCTCCACAGCTCTCTCTCTCTCTCTCTCTCTCTCTCTCTCTCTCTCTCTCGTGATGTTACTTGGGCTTTTGCATTCAAGACCATGCAAACATTTCAATTTAAATGAATTGTTTTCTCTGTGAGAGAGGTATTTTCAATTTTGTATACAGGGACATATATATATCTTATGAAAGTGTCCTTTGTTTCAGAGGTGATGGGGCTGCTATCTCTTGATCTCAGATCCCCTTTTTCATACTAATATCCATCACCTTTTATTTATCCCATCCCAGCTGGGAGTATACCTAAATCATAAGATCCTGCGGGAATAATCCACACCTCCATACATGTTTAGAGTTCAAAATATGACTTCAGAGTTACAGTGGTGTTGTGTGTGTGTTGTTTTTTTAAAAAAGATGCAGAGAAATGTATTTTTCTCTCAGTGTTTATCACAGGGCTGCAATCTTAGGCTGAAAGCAAAAGAAATTTCAGTTGGAGGGCAAGTTCCAGGAGATTTCAATAGCTTGCTCTTAGATGTGTTCAAAACTGAACTGTAAACAGGGAGTGTCTTTTAGGAGCATTTGCTGTGATTAGATTTTATGCCTCTTAATTGGTGTTTCTGAACAATAGTTACATGGTCTGAAACACTGGAGAGGGCTAGCTCTCCATAGTTTAATTGATTGTAAATTGCCTTGGGCAGAAGGATGTGGAATAAGTTTTACAAATGGGTAAATAAATGGTTCTTCTGGTTTAGCACTGTACTACTGCTTTGAATGTGCTTTCTGTGCTGCATAGAAAAAAATAATATAAATGACAGAGGAATTAGTTCAAATGGAAGAAAAGAAGCAAAACCTCTCAGCCTTACATGACAGTGCTGCACAGAGGTGATGCCTCCACCCAGCAAACCCCAGGCTTTCCTAAAGTCCACATACTGCCCAATCCATAGGCCATGCTCCAGCCACGTTGAATTGGCCTACATGGGATTCTGCATAGACCTGTGTAGGGCAACACTGAACGAAAGTTTCCTCAGTGCTTGATGTTTCTGTATAGAAATGATTTGCTATAAAACATCTTCCATTGTACCTGAAGTGACTGGAGACTCCGTCATGATTGCAAATAAATAAAGACACTCAAGTGTAAGAACAGAATTCTATAGATTGCACTATGTACACATGCTTGGTTCCACTCACGGAAGAGACAGTACCTGCCTACCCTCATCCACTGCAGTCTTTTGTTCCACCCCAAAAGTTGTCTATTAGCATTGGAGACCTTTGAGAATGACATGGAATGCAGCATAGAGGGTTGCATCTCAGCCTGGGAAAACATGAATCTCTCTCTCTCTCTCTCTCTCTCTCTCTCTCTCTCTCTCTCTCTCTCTCTCTCATGCAAGTGGAAGTGCCTTTTGCTCACAGAAGGGCATCCTTATCGTTTGGGAAGACAGCTAAATATTAGAGGTCAAGTTTACAGAAATTAAGCAGATTTGGTGACGTACTCTTAACATATTAAAAAATGGTGCAGAAAAAGAAATTGGAGATTCCTATAAACAAACCAGAGAACAAAATGATTTGCTCATGAGAAGCTCCTATTTCTTTTTCTGATTTTGGGATTCCCTCTTATGGTATCCAAATTTTAACAGATGCCTCCTTCTTGGGGTGGGGTGCACACTGTGGTTCCTATCATATTAGTGATCACTGGTCCACCTGTGAATGGAAGTTGCATATCAACCATTTAGAAATCAGGGCAGTTAGATATGTTTTGGTTTCCCTTGCAGCCTGAGTCACCAACAGAGGAGTTCTAATAGCCATAGACAATAATACAACAGAGTTCTATGTAAACAAACAGGGGTACTGGCTTGCTCACCCTCTCTATGGAAACTTTCCACTTGTGGCAATGAGCTATCCAACGCAACATATTGTTAGAAGCTATACACATTGCTGGACTGGTGAATATGACGGCAGACAATCTCAGCAGGTATACCCCCTCCACACAGAAGAAGAAGAGATTGAATTTTCTGCCCTTCACTCGGAGTCTCAGAGCAGCTTACAAACTTCTTTCCCTTCCCCTCCCCACAACAGACACACTGTGAGATAGGTGGGGCTGAGAGAGCTCTTTCTGTAACTGCTCCTTCAAGAACAGCTCTTGTCAGAATTATGGTTTGCCCAAGGTCATCCAACAGCTGCAAGTGGAGGAGTGGGGAATCAAACCCAGTTCTCCCAGATTAGAGTCCATATACTTAACCACTACACCAAACTGGCTCTCTCAGAATGGTGCCTTATGGAGAGTTATTTGTTCCCTGTGTTTCAGCACTGGGACCAACCCCTGGTGGACCTCTTTGCTTCTTATGCGAGCATCAAATGCTCCAGATTTTGCTCTCTGGCTAGGACCAATGCAGACTCATTGGGGGAGGCTTTTCAGCTGAAGTGGCAAGGGACTCTGTTCTATGCCTTTCCACCCATTCCCATGCTGGAATGGGAAACTAGCCAAACTCAGAACAGACAACTCCCACTGCATTCTGATTGCCCCTTCTGGCCACAGCAGGTATGGTTCCCCACTCTCTGGTCCTTCTCCAAGGATAAGCAGCAGGTAACTGTTTTATATACCACAACACAAAGTTGTATATTTCTGATGTAGTTTAAATAAGGACAATGCTGGGCCATCACATATCAACAACTGGTGTTGCTGCAAGTTTGTTACTTTGGAATCAGATCAAATAGATGGATAGTGTCGTGGGTCATCCAGGGCTCAGCGAGGACTCAGGAGAAGAGGAGCCCCCATGTAGCCAGCTCTGAGTCAGCAGAAGCCAGCAAGCAGGAAGATGAACTGCAGGCTTGTCAGGATTCACAGCCAACAGCTGGTGCAGAGCCACCACTACCCTCCAGCCATGATTCAACAGGTGAAACTAAGTAAAGCAAATCACTCCCAGCCTTCCAGTAGCACCCACACCCTTAGAGTGCCACAGACAGAGGCTATGAGCTGGACTACAGGAAAAATGACAGAGTGCTTACCTCCTGGTCTGACACCAGCTTGGTTGAGTAGTTGCAGGGTTACTCTTGAGCAGCTGGCTGCAAGCAAGACCCTTAGGCATATGCATATCAAAACCAGCTAGAGGCTGTTAGGTATGGAAGCAACAAGTCACCAAACCTCTGACTTTGTGACCACAGCTTTGGTCTCTGCTGTTTTGATCCATGGACCTGCTCTTGACTGACCTTCTGGAACTGCTCTCACTGTTTGGTAAACAACTTCAGACTGCTAGACTTCACTCTCGGACAACTCCCTGAATTCCATTCTGACTTCCTGGTAACTGACCTCTGGATCTGTCCCTGATTTTGATTCTGGAACTTGGCTCCTTGGCCTGTCAGTGACAGATAGCTGTACAACGGCTCTTGTTGTTACAGTTTGTTGATGTTGGAAATATGCTATGAATAGCTGCTGCTGGAGGGATGTCAATTTTTGCTCTTAAGAAAATTCCACTTAAATGCTTTGGGGAATTAGGGATGGAAAGCCAGTTTAGAACTCCAAAGATATTCTCAACAAAATTGTTAAATTGCAAAAGATCATAAAACTCAAAAGGAATGGGGAGAAAAGGCTCAAAAATCATCTTCTGTCTTACAATATCCTATTCATTAAGTAGTATTGCTATAATCAAAGTGTGGTGGGGAAAGTGCAGAATGCAATTGTGCTTTGTGATTGCCTTGCTGCAATGGGAATGAGTTACTCTTTGAAGTTCATCTAGATCATGAGTTTAATTGGTAAAGATGCTGTTGTATTCTGTGCTTGAGACCATTGGTCATGTGAGCTAAATAAATTGATTGATTGGTAAAGATGCAAAAATTCCAGAGTAGCGTCTTCATATTTGTTTTCTATGTAGATAATGACATGGATGGGTTCCAGTTATAGCATGTGAACAGAACAGACATGCAGGGAAAACAATGCAGTTGCCTTATTACTATTTCTGAATAAAGCCTTTAATTGTAGAAAAAATTGTGTCTAAACTAGTATTAACAGTCTCAAA